GACCCTTACCATGAGCCGGGATCAACCTGAGTGCTACAGTGTGTATAGTCTACTGTAGGTGAGGGAGCTTCTGACACCTGAGTTTAATAAAGAACAGGTGATCAACTAATTTACTTTTTGGTTTTTTCTTAGGTATTATTATTATTATTATTTATATTATTATCATTATTTATATTATTATTATTATTATTATTATTATCATTATTTATATTATTATTATTATTATTATTATTATTATTATTATTATCTAAGAATGATTACTTAAATTAAAAGTAAGTGGGGAGGATAGAAGCGAGGAGAAGGAAGGAGGGAGAGGAGGAGGGGGGAGGAGGGGAGGAGAGAGGAGAAGGAAGGAGGAGGGGGGGGGGGGGGAAGGAGGGGGGAGAAGGGGAGGGAGAGAGGAGAAGGAAGGAGGTGAGGGGGGGAGGATGGGGGGAGAAGGAAGGAGGAGGGGGGGGGGGAGGAGGAAGGAGGAGGGGGGGGGGGGGGGAGGAGGGGGGAAGGAAGGGGAGGAGAGAGGGAGAAGGAAGGAGGAGGGGGGGGGGAGGAGGGGGAGGAGGAAAGAAGGTTAGGATTGCAAAAGTCGAGCTTCAAAAAATTTAATATGAAAAAACTATTCAACTCTTTCCATTTTTTTTTCTTTTATCAAAACTTTTTACGTAGAAGACTCGACCATTTAAATACTTAGGTCAAATTTGTCGTCTGAGGTGTTGGAGGCCAAGTGTTGGAGGACACGTGTTGGAGGACAGGTGTTGGAGGTCAGGTGTTGGAGGCCAGGTGTTGGAGGCCAGGTGTTGGAGGCCAGGTGTTGGAGGCCAGGTGTTGGAGGACAGGTGTTGGAGGACAGGTGTTGGAGGGCAGGCGTAGGAGGGAAGGTGTTGGAGGCGATTGCAGTTGGAGGCCAGGTGTTGGAGGCCAGGTGTTGGAGGCCAGGTGTTGGAGGCCAGGTGTTGGAGGCCAGGTGTTGGAGGACAGGTGTTGGAGGACAGGTGTTGGAGGGCAGGCGTAGGAGGGAAGGTGTTGGAGGACAGGTGTTGGAGGACAGGTGAGCACCAGTAGGAACCCCCCCACCCCACACACAGGTAAACATTTATGAAAGGAAGAAAAAGTTTTCGTGTCTTTTAATCTAATTCCTGGAAGGAGTTCGTGACCCTGAGGTTGTATGGCCACCTCTATCACCTCCTCTGTGGCCACACTACTCCTACAGTCTGTACTTCCTCATGGACATAGTGCCCAGTGTTACACCCTCGAGCACACCTCCCATGTATGGGATCTACATGATATTCTGTGATGGTAAAACCAGGTGCATACTACCCCGTTACATCTGGTGTACATATCTCCTAGCATTTCCTTCAGTCTAACTCACCATTGTTCCAATCTTTGTTTCCACCACACCACACCCACCCCACCCACCACCACCCCACCACCACACACACCACCCACACACCCACCCACACCACACCCCACCCCCACCCACCCCACCCACCCCACAGCTACTCAGAGGCGGGCCCGTAAGAACAAGCACCAACTCAGCTTCTCAATTTAGCAGAGGTCGACTGGGGAGGTTGGACGACAGCGGTGGATTGCTCGAGTCATGTTATTTCCAGAGCATTTTTAGTGTGAGGTGGGGAGGTGAGGGAGAGTGAGGGAGAGTGGGAGGTGGAGGGTGAGGGAGGTGGGAGAGTGAGGGTGAGGTGAGGGAGGTGGGAGGTGAGGGAGTGAGGAGGTGGGAGGTGAGGGAGAGTGGGAGGTGTGAAGGGAGGACAGAGGCAGTGGAGATCTGATCGTCTCATTGGGCTCTACTGGGTGCAGGAGTCATGGCAGGACTGAGGGAGGAAGGAGGTCTTTGTTGGAGGTAGAGGTCAGAGGCGAGGAGGGGTTCAGGAGGGAGGGAGGTGACTGGGAGGAGGTGCAGGGAGGAGGACAGGGTGATTGGGAGGAGGTGCGGAGGGAGGACGAGGTGACTGGGAGGAGGTGCAGCAGGGAGGACGAGGTGATGATGGGAGGAGGTGCAGGAGGAAGGACAGGTGACTGGGAGGAAGTGGGGAGGGAGGACAGGGTGACTGGGAGGGAGGTGCAGGAGGGAGGACGAGGTGACTGGGAGGAGGTGCAGGAGGAGGACGAGGTGACTAGGAGGACGAGGTGACTCATTCAGGTCCGTATCTCGGGTCCTCCTGCCCTTCAGTACTCAGCCCCAGGAGAGTTTCCAACCTCCCTCCGCGTCGAGCCAGGTCCCCGAACCATCACCTGGGCGACACCTGGACACACAGGTACACATTAAGTAATTGAAATTTCTTGAGCCCTCGTCCATCCCGTCTCACACCCTCACACGACCCTCACTACACGACCCTCACTACACCTCACACGACCCTCACTACACGACCCTCACTACCTCTACAAACCCTCACCAACCACACACACTCGAACTCTTGCCTTTTCCTCTCTCTCCCTCATACTACCCCTCATCCATCCTAATACATCCCCCCTCATCCATCTTCTTCCACTCATCCACAATAATCTGTCTTACTGGTGGTTGCGTGGTTGATTGACGTGCAGTAGTCAAAATCTGTATTGTTTATTATACAGATTTTCTTTATAAAACATGTCAAAATCCTTCTTCAAAATCTTATATCACAGATTTATAAAGATCTATAAATCTGACCTGATAAAACTCATTATAACTGCTGTGTGTGTGTGTGTGTGTGTGTGTGTGTGTGTGTGTGTGTGTGTGACATTTGTTCTTGTCTTTCTGTAAGTTTTGTTATGTTGTATTATTGTGTTGTTATGGTGTTGTTGTTGTGATTTATTCCCCAACCTCCCTCCCCTACCTACCCCAAATCACCCATACTCTCCCCTGTCTCCCTCCAGCTTCCTCTCCTTCCCAAAACCTGGACGTACAAGAAAATACTTCAAGACTGATGAGAAAATCGTTGGGCCAACAGGCTGGATCGAGAGGAGTATATTTTTAAGCGTGATGGAGGAGCGTCAAACATGTTACGTCACGTTCCTCTCGGCGCTGATTGGCCCGTTAAGTGATACTTTTAACGTGATGGAGGCAGCCTAAACATGTGACGTCATGTACACTCTCTGCTCTGATTGGTTTGGTTCGAAATACTTTCACTAGGAAGGAAATTAAAACATGTGACGTCACTAACACTCTGGCGCTGATTGGCCCGTCAAAAATACTTTCAGTGCCCTAACGTGTGACGTCAATTACACTTACGGCGCCGAGTGGCCGTTAAGGCTTTTAATACTTAGTGTCATTTTTGGGAAAAGTTCGGCGGGAAATTAGATATAGGTGAAGTGGGGTGGTGTGGGTGGTGTGGGTGGTGTGGGTGAAGTGAGGTGATGTGTGTGTGTGTGTGTGTGTGTGTGTCTCTGTGTGTGTGTGTGGGGGGTTGTGTGTGTGTGTGTGTGTGTGTGTGTGTGTGTGTGTGTGTGTGTGTGTGTGTGTGTGTGTGTGTGTGTGTGTGTGTGGAGATTTTCAAATAAAGTTTCATAGACTAATCGAAAACTTTCTAAAATAAGAAACTTTGAGACATCACGAAACTATTTAAGTATTTATATTATTCAATCCATTTTAATTATATTCCAGTAGATATTTTAAGAAGATAGAACATCACACGTGTTTAGCCTGGGTGAGATAAAAATCGCCAATTATTATTCTTTTACGATTTTTTTTACGAGGTTTGTGAAAATAAAAGTAATATACGATAATTGTTAAAATGAGAGAGAGAAAAAATAGTGATCCCGGAAATTTCACCAAAATATTGTGGAAATTATCTACAAACTTTCATGACCTGATGATGGTATACTGTTTAAATACTTTTTGGGGCTTTGTTAATGACCCATTTTTTTATAAGGGGTTTAGAGGTTAATTCTTTCTGCTGGTTAGAAGTGGGATACACACACAACCACACACACACACACCAACCCACACACAACCCACACCCACCCTACCACTCTCTGTGTTCTGCAGCCAGTTGTACCAGGCTCTGGCGCCGCCTTGGGGCTGCATCTTACCTGGTTTATGGATCGATCATGTACAGGAGGGGGGGAGAAGAGAAGAACGAAGGGGGACGAAGAGGAGGAGAGCAGAAAGAGGAGGACGAGGAGGAATATCTGAGAGAGAGCCGCAGAACTACCATGCACTCGAGGGATTGGGTTAGGTTGATTTAAGTTAGTCTAGGCTGGGCTGGATGGGATCAATATCTCAAGACAGGTCTCAAGAGTTATCACAAGAGTTGGGGTGATATGGTGTTTGTGTGTGGTGTGTGTGTGTGTGTGGGTGTGTGTGTGTGTGTGTGTGTTGGGGGGGTGTGTGTGTGTGTGTGGTGTGTTGGGGGTGGTGGGTGTGGTGTGTGTGTGTGTGTGGGTGTTAATGGGGTGTGGGTGGTGTGGTTGTGGTGTCTGTGTGTGGGGTGTGGGTGTGTGTGGGTGTGTGTGGTGTGGGTGTGTGTGTGGTGGTGGGTGTGGGTGTGTGTGGGTGTGTGTGTCTGTGGAGTGTGTGGTGTGGGTGTGGTGAGTCGTGGCAATGAGACAAGTAAATGGTGGGCCAGTAACAGCAGAGAGTGGGCCAGTAACATGAAATTGGGCCAGTAACATGAGAGGTTGAAGTGGGCCAGTAGCAATAGAGAGACCAGTAACAGCAGAGAGTGTGGGCCAGTAACAGCAAGTGATAAGTAACAGCAGAGTGGGCCAGTAACTCTGAAATGGTGTTGGGTGTTGTGGTGTGGTGGGGTGTGGGTAGAGAACCAGTAACCATGAAGTGGGCCAGTGTATGCAAGTGGGCCAGTAACAGCAGAAGAGGGCCAGTAACAGCAGAAGGGCCAGTAACAGCAGAAGGCCAGTAACAGCAGAAGATAATAGTAACAGCAGAAGGGCCAGTAATTGTAGAAGGGCCAGTAACAGCAGAAGAGGGCCAGTAAAGAAGTAGTGGGGCAGTCTACAGAAGTAAATAGTAACAGCAGAAGAGGGCCAGTAACAGCAGAAGGGCCAGTTTAGCAAAAGTAATGAAGAAGAGGGCCAGTAAAGTAGAAGAGGGCCAGTAACAGCAGAAGAGGGCCAGTAACAGCAGAAGGGCCAGTAACAGCAGAAGAGGGCCAGTAACAGCAGAAGAGGTGGCCAGTAACAGCAGAAGAGGGCCAGTAACAGCAGAAGTGGGCCAGTAACAGCAGAAGTGGGCCAGTAACAGCAGAAGAGGGCCAGTAACAGCAGAAGTGGGCCAGTAACAGCAGAAGTGACAGAGGTGAGGGCCAGTAACAGCAGAAGAGGGCCAGTAACAGCAGAAGTGGGCCAGTAACAGCAGAAGAGGGCCAGCAGCAGAAGAGGGCTATAACAGCAGAAGAGGGCCAGTAACAGCAGAAGTGGGCCAGTAACAGCAGAAGTGGGCCAGTAACAGCAGAAGTGGGCCAGTAACAGCAGAAGAGGGCCAGTAACAGCAGAAGTGGACCAGTAACAGCAGAAGTGGGCAACAGCAGAAGGGCCAGTAACAGCAGAAGAGGGCCAGTGAAAGAAGGGCCAGTAACAGCAGAAGTGGGCCAGTAACAGCAGAAGAGGCCAGTAACAGCAGAAGAGGGCCAGTAACAGCAGAAGAGGCAGTAACAGAAGTGGGCCAGTAACAGCAGAAGAGGGCCAGTAACAGCAGAAGAGGGCCAGTAACAGCAGAAGAGGGCCAGTAACAGCAGAAGAGGGCCAGTAACAGCAGAAGAGGGCCAGTAACAGCAGAAGAGGGCCAGTAACAGCAGAAGAGGGCCAACACAGAAGTGGGCCAGTAACAGCAGAAGTGGCACAGTAACAGCAGAAGAGATGTAACAGCAGAAGTGGGCCAGTAACAGCAGAAGAGGGCCAGTAACAGCAGAAGGGCCAGTAACAGCAGAAGAGGGCCAGTAACAGCAGAAGAGGGCCAGTAACAGCAGAAGGGCCGGGAACAGCAGAGCAGCAGACCTGCCGGGTAAGTGTTCGCGATTAAGGTAACGTTGGATCAAGTGAACTGATCCGCGCAGACAGTGATTTATCTGCTGGGGGGGGGAGAGGGGAGGGATGGTGAGGGGGGGCGAGAGGGGAGGGGGCGAGAGGGGAGGGAGGGTGGAGAGGGGAGGAAGGTGAGAGGGGAGGGAGGGTGAGTGGGGGAGGGAAGGTGGGAGGATTGGGTGAGGAGGAGGAAAGGGAATACCTGACGAGTGGGGGAGGAAAGCGGAGGGGAGGAGGGATGGGAGACGGGTAAGAGGGGAGATGAGGGGAGGAGGAAGAAGAGTTGAGGGGTGAAGGAAAGGTGTGAGGTAAGGGGAGATAGAGGGGAAAGGTAAGGGAGGGGTGATAAGAGATGTGAGGTGAGGGAGGAGATAAAGGAGAGAGGAGGAAGAGGTGAAAGGGGAAATAAAAAAGGAAAGACAAGTAGAATGAGGAAATGGAATAAGGGAGAAGGAGAAGGAACTGGACGAAAGGGGAAGCAGGGAAAAGGAAGATAGAACACGAGAAGGGTCCATAAGAGGGCGTAGAATAGAGGAGAAAGAGAGGAAAAGAGATATAAACAGAAGATAAAGAAGACGAAGACGAGAGAATAAATATGGGAGAGAGAGAGAGAGAGAGAGAGAGAGAGAGAGAGAGAGAGAGAGAGAGAGAGAGAGAGAGAGAAGAGAACTTAAATTAAGACAAGGCAAAAATAAAAAAAATGAAACAGGAAACTAAAAGAAGATAGGAAGGGAGGAGGAGGAGGAGGAGGAGGAGGAGGAGGAGGAGGATGATAAAGATGAGAGAAGAAGCAGACTAAAAAAAGACAAACAAGAAGGGGTTACACACAGAGAGGGAAGAACTGAAAGATACGACACAGAATAAACGAAAAATTTAAAAAAATGGTGAAAAGTATCGAGGGGAAGGGGGAGGAATGAGGTGTAGTTGGATAAAGAAGAAAAACAGATAAAGGGGGAAGAAGGACGGGAAAAACGGGGAGGAGGAGGAGGAAGAGATAAATGATGTAAAAATAGGTGGAGAGAGAGAGAGAGAGGAGAGAGAGAGAGAGAGAGAGAGAGAGAGAGAGAGAGAGAGAGAGAGAGAAAAACGAAATTACAAAATACGAAGTGAGAAGAGAAAACAAGAGGAAAGAGAAGATGATAAAGACAATGAAATGGAGAAGAAGAGAGGAGGAGGAGGAGGAGGCATACGATAAGAGGAAGGGGTGGAGGGAGAGAGGAAGTGAGGGAGGAAGGGAGAAAGAAGAAGAGAGAGAGAGAGAGAGATTAAGACAGCAGGAAAAGCGTGAATTGGGAAGAGGAAACGGGAATGGCATAATGAAGGAGAAGAGAGGAGGAGGAGGAGAAGAGTGGAATAAAGAAGGGAAGAAGGAAGGAAGGATGGAAGGAAGGATGAATAAAGGTTAATAACAACGTAGACAGTAGTAGACAGGTAGAGAGAGACAGACAGGGAGGTGGGAGAGGTAGATAGATGAATAGACAGACAGATAGACAGATAAAACGGTGACTGGGGGGTGTAGAGGCAGGGCTGGTGACTAGGGGGGTTGGGAGGCAGGGCTGGTGACTGGGGGGTTGGGGAGCAGGGCTGGTGACTGAGGGGGGTTGTGGAGGCAGGGCTGGTGACTGAGGGGGGCAGGGGAGGCAGGCTGGTGACTGAGGGGGGTTGGTGAGGCAGGCTGGTGACTTAGGGGGTGGGGGAGGCAGGGCTAGTGACTGGGGGGTTGTGAGGCAGGGCTGGTGACTGAGGGGGGGCTGTGAGGCAGGGCTGGTGACTGAGGGGGTTGTGAGGCAGGCTGGTGATGAGTGGGGGTTGTGAGGCAGGGCTGGGGACTGGGGGTTGTGAGGCAGGCTGGTGACTGAGGGGGGTTGTGAGGCAGGGGCTAGTGACTGGGGGCTGGGGAGGCAGGGCTGGTGACTAGGGGGTGTGAGGCAGGGCTGGACTGGGGGGGGAGGCAGGGCTGGTGACTGAGGGGGGTTGTGAGGCAGGGCTGGTGACTGAAGGGGGTTGTGAGGCAGGGCTGGTGACTGAGGGGGGTTGTGAGGCAGGGCTGGTGACTGGGGTTGTGGAGGCAGGCTGGTGACTGAGGGGGTGAGGCAGGGCTGGTGACTGGGGGTGGAATGGGTTGTGAGGCGGAGCTAATGGGTTGATGTGGTGGTTGTAGGGCGGGGCTGATGGATTGGGGGTGTGGCCGTGAGGCGGAGCTGACGGATGAGGGTCATTGTGCGACAGACTTGGTAGTGGATGAGGGGCTGGTGGGGGCTGGTTGGGGCTGGTGGGGGCTGGTGGGGGCTGGTGGGGGCTGGGGAGCTGTGTTGGGGAGTTCAGCCATGTCTTCTCCCTCTCCCCTGACAACTTCACGCCCCACTTGGCTCCCCTCCTCCTCCTCTGTGTTTTTGACGAATTTGTGTAGGTTGTGGGGAGCTTATCCCAGAGGACAAAGCAGTGTGTGGGAGATGGGGAGGGGAAGGGAGAAGAGGAGAGATAGGGGAGGGAAAGGTACGACTGGGGTGACAGAGGAAGGACACAGAGAGAGAGAGAGAGAGAGAGAGAGAGAGAGAGAGAGAGAGAGAGAGAGAGGCTAAGAGGGCTAAGCTTACACTGGTGGAAGGGGAAGGGGGCGACACTTTCACTTGAGGAAAAGAAAAGCTTAACTCTCACTGGTGGAAGAGATGGGGGATTAACTTTCTTTGATGGAAAAGAAAGAGAGGGCTTAACTCTTACCGGTGAAGGAAGAGGAGCATAAATGTTGCTAGGAGAAAGGAAAGGGAGGAAGGGAATGCTCAATAATCACGAGCAGAAGAGAAGAGGAGCTCAACTTTCACAGGCGGAAGAGAAAGAGTGCTAAGCTTTGATTGCTAGTAGAGAAGGGGAGCTTAACTTTCACCAGTGGATGGGGAGGCAGGGAGGGAAAGGGGGAGTGGTGGTAGGGCTCAACTTTCACTGGTGAGAGAGAGAGAGAGAGAGAGAGAGAGCTCTACACCACCTCCCCGGCAGCCACTCACAGATTTACGAGTACAACGCAGCGACCATTTACATTTAAAGTTCACTCTGGTCTAGTCGCCTCCCCAACTGATGCTGCGAGTCAGCTGGGGAGGAGGGGAACACGGGGAGGGGAACACGGGGAGGAGAACACGGGGAGGAGAACACGGTGAGGAGAACACGATGAGGAGAACACGGGGAGGAGAACACGGGGAGGAGAACACGATGAGGAGACCACGAGGAGGAGAACACGGGGAGGAGAACACGGGGAGGAGAACACGGGGAGGAGAACACGGTGAAGAGAACACGGGGAGGAGAACACGGGGAGGAGAACACGATGAGGAGACCACGAGGAGGAGAACACGGGGAGGAGAACACGGGGAGGAGAACACGGTGAAGAGAACACGGGGAGGAGAACACGGGGAGGAGAACACGGTGAATGAACTCTCACTTTACAATAATTCATCAAAACATTCGAAAAAAAAACAGGAATAAATTAAAGAAAAAAAAAATATATATATAAAAACACCAAAACGGATAAATATGTATGAAGGGAAAAATAAAATAAAAGAGACGGGAAGAAATACAGAGTTGAAGTATAAAAAAATATATCGTGTGTATGAAGAGAATTTCAATTAAATCTTATAAAATAAAACACAAAATATTGAGTCTAGATTGAAAGAAGAACAAAAATCTTAAGTAAATAAAATCGGGGATTCAATAATTAAATCTGGGTTACAATAATAAAATCTGGGTTACAATAATTAAATCTGGGTTACAATAATTAAATCGGGGTTACAATAATTAAATCTGGGTTACAATAATAAAATCTGGGTTACAATAATTAAATCGGGGTTACAATAATAAAATCTGGGTTACAATAATAAAATCTGGGTTACAATAATTAAATCTGGGTTATAAATCGGGGTTACAAAAAAATTGTTGATTATGATAAACCAACAAAATCGGATAAAATGAACGGTTGAAAAGAAAAATCGCAAAAAAAAAGTTGAATCTAAAAGAACCCAAAATTCTGTACATCGTCCGTAGACCAAAAAGAAAGGGAAAGATGCAAGACTTTTACACTGCCTGGAAAAAAAAAATCGTGGAATAAAATCGGGCATCGGTTGGAAAAAAATCGGGAAAGTAAGAATAAAAATCTGGGGAAAATCAACGGCGTCTGGGGAAAAAACTGGAGAAAATAAAAAAAATCGGGGAAAAATCGAAAATATTAATCATCGGTTGGAGAAAAATCGGGAAAAAAATCTTCACCGACCCTTGCAATGTGAGGGCTGAGGGCTAAGGGCTAACTGCTGGGGGTTAAGGGCTTTATATAGTCGATTGCATTCGTATTAAAACAAGTCAAACGGCCCTTACAATATGAGAGCCAGGACTGAGGGCTGCGGGGCTGGGGCTGGGGGCTCTGGACTGGGGGGCTTCATATCGTGGGGTAAAGCCAATAACACGAAAGGACCAGAAAATACCCCGAGAATTTTGGCGTGAGTTTGACGGCCTGAGGGGAAACGCCGAGCTGAGGGAGAGGGTGAGGGAGAGGGGAGGGTGAGGGAGAGGGAGAGGTGAGGGTGAGGGAGAGAGGGAGAGTAGGGAGGAATGGACAGGAAGGAGAGGTGAGGGAGAGGGAGAGGTGAGGGTGAGGGAGAGAGGGAGAGTAGGGAGGAATGGACAGGAAGGAGAGGTGAGGGAGAGCTGTGGTGAAGGAGAGGGCAGGTGAGGAGTGGTGAGGGGTGATGAGAGAGAGAGAGAGAGAGAGGTGATAAATACAAGCAGTGGCAATAGGGGGAAGGGAAGCCTCACACTGTAGGGATGAAAACCAAACGCAAGTCACAAATTTTACCCGCCTGAGAACACGATTTCCAAAACAAAACAATTAAAAAAAACCCGAAATAGCCCACTAGAAAATTTATCATACGAGATAAAACATTAACAAACGGGAATATAAAGGCTAAAAAAAAGAAAAAGAACAAAAAAGACAAGTAAAATATTCGTTTTTAAAAAGTTGGGAATCATAAAAAACGGAGGGAAAAATATCCCAGCGGAGGGGAGACTAAAGTAAGTTGCAGTAGGTGGGGTCATTTTGGCGGAGCTGTGCATGTGATGAGGGAGGTGGTAAATACAGGGGTGAGGGCGCTATTATGAGGGGCCGGGGAGAGGGAGAAGCCATATTTACGACAGTAATGAATAGTACGATGAGGAGGAGGAAGGGGAGTGTGTGTGTGTGTACGTGAGTGTCTGTAGTGTTATGAGAGAGAGAGAGAGAGAGAGAGAGAGAGAGAGAGACCGTACCATTGGGCTCACACCATTAACTCTCCAGAAAAGGTTTGTGGGAGAGGAAGGACCTGTCTTCCTTCCCCCTTTCTCCTCCTTCGCCACAAAGGTTTCATCGCCCTCCACCAAATCTTCGTGACTCACTATTTCGGTCGATCAAGCTTGTTTCCTCCTCGATAAAAACTATAATTCTTAGAGACTTCGAAAAAGATTATCCTTCATTTATGATTTTTTGTTTATTCGTGATCCAGTAATATTTTTCCTCAGTAAAAACTCTTACTACTACTAAAGTTATTGGTGTAATTACTACTATTATTAATATTAATTATAGTAATGGCTGTTTTAATACGATGATGATAACAAAAATAATAAAATAATAATAATACAAACTGGGTGTCAGGTACAATAGGCTAATGTCTAATAGCCCCACCTAATAGACCCTTAACCTCACATAACCTTCCATTAGGACCGGGTTGATTAAGTCTGGGGTCTGTGAGTCCTGGATTACATCACACGACTCCCAGCTTTATGAAGGCGTTACCACCATTTATTGTTCTGTCGACCAGGTGGTGTTGAGGCCTCTTAACTGCGTAAGACGACCTATTGGGAGAGCAAAATACTAACCAAGCATGACACGAACTGATACTAGCAGATGGGGCAGTAACTAGCCACTAATAGCAACAGTAACTAGCCCAAGCATGACACGAAGAAATATAAATAAAAGACGGGGCAGTAACAAGCTAAGGCACTTTTCCCCCGCCATCAAAGGCCCATTGATCACAGCCTAACCCACATCAACCCACACCCATACAATAGTGTCGCCTGAAGGAGGAAGAAGGGTAGGGGGAAAGGGGGGAGGAGGGAAGGGGAGGAGGGGAAAGGGGGAGGAGGGGAGGGAAGGGGGGAGGAGGGGAAGAGAGGGGGGTAGGTTGAGGAAGCTTTTGCCGAGTTATTTCTGGTGAAAAAATAGCCACCACCTTCTACATCACGTCTCGTTCTACTGTAGGTGACGTTGACAAAGGCTACAGAAGGTGAGTCTAATGGGTTGATGGACTCTCCTTACGGGTCTCGCATCCCTAATTCACCCCCGTCGTCGCCTCTGCTGCTACCTCCTCCTTCTGCAGCATCATCTCCACCGGCAGCAGCAGCAGAAAAGTCTTGAAGGAAAGAATGTAAGATGCTGCTGTTTTTGTGTTTTTTCTACTTATTGTCTTGGGTTCTGCCGCCTCTAACACACACACACACACACACACACACACACACACACACACACACACACACACACACACACACACACACACACACACACACACACACACACACACACACACACACACACACACACACACACACACACACACCGTTCTACAGTCAGGGAAAGTTATAATAAAGTAAAGCCAACAGACTCATCTACACGCCCCGCTGGTCAAGGAGGGGAGGAGTGAGTGAGTGAGTGAGGGAGGGAGCGAGCGAGTGAGGAACAGGATATTAGAAACAAAGGGTAAAGAGAAATGGAAGGGAGAGAGAGAGAGAGAGCTGGAGTAGTCACGCTAACCCCACACTTGCCATGTCATTCTACCTCACATTTACACACGCCTCATTCTCACCTCACCTCCTCACCACCACCTACACCTTGCCTGCTTCCTCCTCACCTCATTTCCTCACCACCTACGCTTCTCCGCGGTTTTTTTCTTTTGTCTCTTATAATTAATTTTCTTTTCCTGCTTTCATTCATCTTTTTCTCTTCAGCTTCCTTTGTTCCATTCTTCCTCATTTGTTTGCTAATTCGGTCTGCTTTTGCTTCTATTTCTGATTTTTTTTTTCTTCTCCTTCGATATTTTGTTTATGTTTGCCTTTATTTGTTTTTTCTCTTCCGTTTACTTTTGTTTATCAATGTACTTTCGTGTCTGACCGTCATCTGCTTTTCTCATCATTTCTTTATTTTAATTCTTGCGTCTTTATATTTTTCGTGCGTTTCCATTTTTTTTCAACTTTTTCAAATATTTTCACTTGATTCATATCTTTTGTCTGATTTGGTCCCAGTTCAGTATATTTCAACTCCTTACAGCCATATATAGATATATTTCTTAGGCCTCTGTCTCATTTACATTCCCTATGTTCAATATATTTATTCTGTAAATATTTCAGTATATTTACAATAAGTGATTTAAGAGACTCAAAACCTCTAAAAACAAATGAAAATCAACTGGAAACATAACACAAACTCTTGTTACATATTGAAACAAGTGAACATGGTCTATGAATCCTTTAGTACATGAAAGGAGTTGACTCATTATGAACCCCTTGTAACGTATAGAGGAAAGTCTCTGAATCCTTTTCGTTATATAAAGAAATGAACACCTGTGAATCCCCTGGAGTTCATAAAAGGGTTCAATACCAGGTTTTTGTATCACACCTCCGGGTCGTGTCAGAGAGGCTACTGGTACACCCCGAACCTTTTTCCCCACGCGACGGGAATTCAACTATTTCCCAAACTGTCTCACAAAACTCAATATCTGTATTTCGCCATTTGGTCTTGGGCGGCCCAGCAGCGTCAAGCATAATAAATAAAGGCCAACCAAGCGTTCTATAACCAAACAGCGACTCAAAGCAGCATTTATCCTCTGACTCTGAAAGCAATTTCACCATTGTGCTCAACACCTTAGTTTAGCAACGTTGAAAAAAATGTTATATTTATTTTCTTGTTTTTTACTATAGGAGATACTCACACAAATACCTCGCAGTTATATTAAAAAAGTACATCTTTATTTAGGTGGAATGATTATACCTGATTATTGGTGATTAAAGGAAAATGGTTCTATGACAACACTATTTTCACTACTTCGCTCTCCTCCCTCCCTCCCTCCTCCTCCCCCTACATCGATAGACTGCCTAATAAAACGTTGAATTAACCGAACTACACACCAGTGATGGTCGCTGCACCGAACTGAAACGACAGTTGTGTTATGGCTGTACTGGTAGGGGGGAGGGGCGTACAGCAGCTTAGATACAGGCCAGATACAGCATACAGGATAGGAGAAATACATATCTCTCTCTCTCTCTCTCTCTCTCTCTCTCTGTGTGGGAGCCGACTAGTCGCCATCTATACCTCTATTTCCACCCTCAGTCAATCTTCACCAATTGTCCCTGACTAAGAAACCTCAATTTGCTCGGCAGAAACACCCGGCCCTACCTTCATCACGTCACCTCTTTCTTTCTTCCTCCTCTCTTACTGTTCCTCCTCCTCTGCTGTTCCTCCTCCTCTTCTTACTCTCCCTCATCTTCTTGTCCTCCTCCTGCTATTCTTGCCTCTTACTGCTCTTCCACTCCTTCAATTTCTTTCTTTTCACCACCATTAACACCTCTCAGTTAACACCCTTATATTAATATCCTTTTCATCTCTTCATTTACCCTCTTCAGAACCTTTTCACCAACAGTACCCCAGCAGCCTTCTACACCTCTCTCATTAACACCCTCCTTCTGCCCCTTCAGTAGTTATCACCTTTAACAGCCCTTCTCACTCACTTAAGACACAAGCTGGTCTTATATACGTCAATTAATGCTACACAATGTTTCAAAAGTAGGATACACACGTAGGATACATCAGACCAGAGAGACACACGAAGGATACATCAGACCAGAGACACACGAAGGATGCACTGAGACCAGACCAGACCAACAGACCACCACCACCACCACTCTAGTAGCGACGCGCCTCACATCGTCGTCGGACACGGAGAAAGACACACACTTGAACCTTTTTAGCCATGAGCAATACGTAACCGAACGAAGGTTGAAAGA